ACTTTTCTTTGCTCCAGAGTGGATTATGATCAATCTTTCAAACTATTGATCGAGTTTAGATACAAACTGTTGCAAAGGTAAGTGCACTCCATCATACTAAATTATTGGACATAATAATATAATTAATCGACAAGATTTTCGAACTTACATTTTTCATTTGAAGAATCATAGACTTTCACAGATTTTTTCAATTTTCATAATGTAAATAAAGACTTTCATTTCTTTCAATAATAAATATTTCTTAATTTCATGCTATTAAATTGTGTCACAATAAGCCATTGTCATGTTTCTTTTTTTTTTTTTTTCTAATAAAGGCTTTTGAAACCTAAATACTTCTCTTATTTCTATGAAAATCTTATTTTTATCAACAATAATACTACATCATATATTAGGAACTCTCAAATATTACACGCTTATGCTTTTTTTTTCATTAACAACATAACAAGTAAAAAAAATCAAGAAAGAGAGAATACCTTAACTAAAAACGCTCAAAAAGCAGCTAAGAATGGTAAAAACAATGCAATTTTTCTTCAGTATATTAGCTTTCTACAGAAAAGGACAACTTTTTTTTCTCTTCTAAGGACATATTTCGATAGAGCATGAAAAACTGCATCTACCTATATCGTTTTTACATGGAGACATAGTATTATGGCGAAGTGGTATGGCTTCAAAAAGAGTCATTCGTCACACTTATCCGAAATTTTAGCTCGTAATCCGGCTTTAAAAATTGTTTTGTGTGTTTAGATGCTGTAATTTTTACATCATTAGATAGAGAATAGTCGATTACATATTTGAAATATGTTTTCAAAAATTTAGAACGCTAAATTAAGACGGCAAGGACGTCAAAACTACAGAAAATCTTCAATTTTTGTCTAAGACCAAAATCATCGGAAATTTGGGTGTGAGTGTGAGTGTGGGTGTGTGGGTGTGTGGTTTTTTTTACCAAGAATAGATACATGTTCACACTCTAAATCCATACGGACAAGGTTAACGAGAATCTTTGTTAATTATATTGTTTTTTTTCTTATCTGTGAAAAAGTAAAAGTTTCTTGTTGGAGCCAATAGTGATACTTAACAAAGGTTCTCACTGACCTTGTCCGTAGGGATTTGGATTGTGAACACGCCTCTGTCCTTGGTAAAAAAAATGAGCCTATTTGATCGAGCCGTAATGAAAATATTCAAATTTTTCTTTGGCAAGGGACTTACTGGACACCCTATATGATAAAATATGATTGAAAATTCTTAATGTATTTATTAAAAAAGAGCTCAATATTCACAAGTGGAACTTTGTTGACAACTAGAAATTTGTCAGTCAAACACTTTCAGATTCATATCTCTTTATCGTTAAAGTCACGGAAATCGATAAAAACGAGCAAACTCAACTAGTTTTATTGATATAAAAATTAATAAAAAATCTCAAAAAAACCACCAGCAAACTGGCCGGTATGCTGGTCCGGTTTCAAGTATGATTTAGACGAAAACGTGTGACTGATGAGGTAGAAATCATTTCGGCAGTAGAGGAGTAAGCTGATTGACTGTGTCGTCAGGTTTTCGGAATATTTTCCGATTATCACTGACGTAACATGAAAATAAATGCGAGATTTTTGAAAATTTTCTACACTCAGGATCAGTTTTCAGGGATGTTTTTATCTAGTTTCTTGTCTGTGTGCTCTCTACCTTCGTTTTATTTCCTTTTCACAGGGGTGACGCGAGTCAACCAACATTGGGGGGAGGGGGGGTGTAGCGAAATTTTTTGGACTAGAAAGACGAAGTCTGCAATTTTTCGGGGGGTGTAACATTATTTTTGGTGACAAGTGGAAGAAAATTTCGTGATTTTGTTGAGCAAAAAAACAGAAATTTTTGAAGATTGGGGGGGGCTGTCGCACCCCCGACATCCCCCCGGTCGCGCCACCCCTGCCTTTTCATTTCAAAACTTTTTGAAACAAAGCATCGAAAATTTTCAGTCATGACTGTAGTCTGAGACTTTAGCAACCGCCGACAACAACAGACGAGAAAAGTTGCAAAAAATTCAGGCGCGTCACGTCCGATCAATACATAGGCTTACACATTCTTCAGGCAAGATCTTTATGTTCTTGAAATATGGGCTTAATGCGTTTTCCTCTTGATTTCTGACCTCATTCTCAGAAGTTATGTGTAAATCTTTACTGTACATCAACAAGACTTTTCTATCATTGCTCTTCTATTTTATTGAAAGACTTTAACAAAATATACAAAAGAAAAATCACTACAATAAAAATACATTCCATTTCATGCAAGTTAAGACGAAATACAAGCGGACAAAATAGAGAATATTTACAATGATAATAGAAAAAGAAAACTAATTTCATAGTCATGTTATAAATCTGACATGTTCATCAAGAAATAGATGATAATAATAATTTATTTATATTAAAAACGCATACTTTTTTTTACTATAATTGTTCTTCTCCATATTCATTGTCTGGATCCAAGTCTGTTTCAATAATATTCTTTGTGAAAACTCTAACACCAACTAGAACTCGAATCCTTAATCAGTCTGAAATTGTATCTTGTTTATAAAATATATTCATTTATCTGATATCGGCATGCAAAATTATATATTATATTAATAGAAGAACTTTTGTTCACCAAATAGTACACAATAACTGTTATCTGTTAACTGTTATCATGCACAAATAAGTAAATAATGTATAGAGATGTTTGTATTTTAGTTCATGCATATGGAAATAGATGTAACATGCCGTTTATCTTCAACTTCGTACAAGAATCTTTTTTTATTATTATTTTTTCAAAAGAAAATTATCAGAATTTGAACATTAAAAAGAATCTTGACTGATTGATTAAGAAAAACATGAATCTGGAAAGAATAGATCGAAGAATGTTGATTAGCTAATGAAAGAGAAAAAATCAAATGATCAACTTGATATTTAAAAGAATCTGTTTAAATAGTTACCGAATAATATTCTATTGGAATTTTTTTTTCAAACATTTCTACTTAGGTACAATGCATCCGAGCTAGTTTATTGGAAATCGTACCTATTTTAACAATTATTTTAGTAAAAATATGTTAAATAATGTATATCTGTATAACACTGTGATATATTTTGATTGAAAATAATTGTTTTCTTATTGAATCGTTGAATTAATATCGAGAAATTTGTTGAGACATAGTTCATGAATATGAACATTTTTTTGTTTAAAGAGCAAACAAATGATAAACAATGATCATTAAGAGTCGAGAGAAAAGAAAATATTCATATTTCAAAGAATAAAAAACATATTTATAATGAATTCTCCATAAATTAACTAAACAAGAAATGATGAATTTTAAATAATAAACTAATAAATATATAGGAATTGATCAAGAAAAATTTTCGATATAAAATCATATATCAATATTTATTCAACTGATAGAAACTCGATTAAAGATTAAATGAAAATAATTCTCATTTTTTTCATTCGATTTTTGTGAATCCTTGTTTATATAAAAGTTTGCTAATTTTCTTCTAAAAATGAGACAATTTGATAAAAACAACTAACTTCTAATTAATTGAAATAAATCTTTTTTATCAAACATAGTTAATTGAACAAAAAAAGACAATAATTAATAAATTCATTAAATAAGAATTCGAATGTTTTTATTGTTTATTATTTCCTTGATAAAGACTTAAGTTTTCTTAATCGTTAATAAACCAAGAAAGAATGTCGATTTCGAAAATTTGCACTGTTGTTTTCTTCGTATAAGGTAATTATTCGTCTAAATATATCTATTATAATGATTAGAATAGTCTCTCTATTCAATCTAAATATGGTTTTTATCATTATAAAAGATCTTGATAAAATCGAGGTTAGACATAGACGATAACAGACCATATGTGAATAATGGCAATAATCATGATAAACAAAAAGTTGCAGATTGTTGTTTAGTTTATTTGATATTCGATAAACTAACTAACTAAATCATGTGAAAATTATTTTTATTTTCTTGTAGATCTATCAATAATAAGAGATAATTATCATTTAAGAGATATGCATACTGACATTCGTTTATTTTCATATTTCGATCTATTTGACTAAGGAAAAAAGTTTGAAAGAAAAACAAAAAACAAAAAGAAAAGATATATTTGTTATGTGGTTATCAACATAGTGAAGAAAAATGAATATAACTAATGAAAAATTTTTGTTAAAATATAAAGAGTCAAAATTGGAAATGAATAAATTCTTTTTAAAATAATTTTTATCAATAATTAGTAATAAATATAAAAGAAAATCATTTTCAAAAAAAAAACAACATCAATTTGTTTAATTATTGATTAAAAAAAAAACGTTTTCATTGAATGAAGAAAATTTGACATATTTAATTGAATTAGTTTGTTTCAAGTTATTATTTAATATGTTATCTGTTATAATTATTATTTATGTTGATAATTAATAGTTAGTTTTATTTATGTTAATAGTCAATAATAATAATAATAATAATAAAACAATAATATAAAAAGGATTGATTGATTGATTTCTATTTGTTAATCTATAAAAGTTGATTTAATCTAATCTATTCAAAGAATCTTTTATCAATGTATATATATAATGACAATATATATTCGTTATCTTAAAAGTAATCAATATTATTTATGACACGTTGTTTTTTTTTTCATAGATTAACTACACTCAATCATTTTCTTTGTTGTTTTTTTTTTTATCAAATCGAATAATTTACAAAGGGAAACATTAATTTAAATATATCCGGAAAAAAACGAAATTTTATAAAAATTTTCTTAAATTGAAAAGAAATAATTGTTGATATTGTCTTGTTTTGTTGAATAATATTAAAAGAAATAAATGTTTCGAGTGGTTTCTACTCAATTAGTTGATAATGGAAGCGAGCGAGAACGCTACGCACAGACACAAAAACAAATACAAAAAAAAAAGAAAAAAAAGAGACGATAAATGGAGGAATGCTAAAAGCACGATGCCGAACATGTTTTGTGTGTGTTTTTTGTTTAATATGAATCATTCTCTTGAATAGATGAATTTGAAAGTTTTTTTTTTAAATGAATATCATCTTTTGTATGTTTTTCATATTCAATTGTTGTTGAATATGATGTTTTACATAATAAACATCGATATGTTAATTGTTCAATTTTAAATATATAACCTGATAAATTATTTAAATCTTCACTTGATTTTATAGTTAGAGGTAATCTTGATCCAGATATTTGCCAACAAACTAATGCATGACATCGACATGATTCATATAATGGCCCTAAATAAATATTTACATTTATTTATTTTTATTTATTTAAATAACTACATTTCATTAAACATTTTTTTTATTCAAAACTTTCATACGAACTTTTTTTAAATTTAACATTGAATTCTAATCATTTATCTTATTTTTTGTTTTCAAAATCAATCAATCAATTAAATAAGCAACTATATTAGATCTTTATATTTATAAACGTAGTCAGGAGATGACGAGCTGCAATAGATGTCTCTTTGCCACCTTTGCCCAAAAAACAACCGGGAGAACGGGATACTGATAAAAAAACTTTTTCGCCAGGCATCCTCCTTAAAAAATTGCTGACTATGTTCCTGAAATAAATCTCAAACTCAATTAAATATCAATCAATTAGTTTATCTATTCTATATCATTTAAATATATTCTATCTACAACTAGACGGTTTTTTTTTCTTCGTCTTAGTGTCTTGCAACCGGATCGACTACTCGACATTCGGTTCGACTCGGAACATGACTCCGAGTGCAAACTAGATTTGAAATTATACCCAATATACGATTCGGCAATAAATGAGATATCGATATATCAATATATTTGAACTTTTTCAAAATGGTTTTATCTATTAAAATATAGGTTTGTTGTACCAAGAGAATTCGTTTTTAATAATTGAATACATAGAAAGAAAAATTAATAATGGAAAAAGCATTCCCGTCTGGATTATAGAAGTAGAAAGATGATCTCTTCTTTTTCGTACTATTTATCGAATAAACTAAATCGTATAATTATCCATATAAAAGCAAAGATTTGAAAAGTATTCTATGACTGTTAAAGTATCATTCGAATGTAAATTATCTCCGATTGAAGTTCGATCAGCTGTCAGGTATATCTAATCAGGTTCGTTCAGTAAACTATATGGTTTGATTTTTGAAACAAATATAATTGAATATAATATATGATTATTGATTTATTAATTTAATTAAACAGATAAAATTAATTAAATAATTGATTAGAAATATTTCAATAAAAATCTAAATGATATTATGTTCATCAAAATAAGACAAAGTTAAATTTGCGTTGTATGGTTTTTTTTTCTATGTCTTGTTCATTGGTGAAAAACATAAAATAAACTTTTGAATTCTGTATGAAAAAAAAACCCGATTTCGTGTTTTCTTTTTTCAATTGTTTAATTAATCGATCGATGTTTTATTGAATGATCAGAGATTTAATGAAATAATCAAATAGACGACGATATAATCATTAAAAGAAAACAATTTGTTTTAAAAAATAGATAATAAAGGAGATGTTTACTTTAAGGTATATATTATTTTAAGAATTGATTTTGTTCTACTGTTTAACGTTGATTTATTACAAATGATTTAAAGATAAATATTATATATTATAATGGTTATATTTGAGAAAATGTCTCATCAAATCTGTGATCATTCAATAAATATTCAATAATAAAAAATTTATCTATAATATGAAAATTGTCGTTTAACGAATAAGTAATAATAAAAAAAAGTTAATTTTGTGTTTTTCATCATTAATGAACAAGACATAGAAAAACAAACAAACAAATATAAGGTTGTCGTATTTAAATAAAATAATATTTAATAATTATAAATAATATTGTTTAGATTTTAATTGAAATATTAATAAATAAATGATTAAATTAACTTTATTTGTTTAATTGAATAATAAATTCTATTGAATAATGATATATCGATTTAAATAATAAATTATTATTCAATATAATCAATCTTGTCAGATTTTTTTGTTTCTCATCATAAAAAAGTTAAAAATTGTTTAATTAAATAAAAATAATTGAATAAAGAAAGATCAACGATTGAAATGTAAAATAATTCAATAGAAAAAAAAAAAAAAAAGAAATGTTAAACTTACAAACAAGATAACATCTTTTACAAGCATAGCCCACATCAATAGTTTGATAATCAACTTGATGATAAGAATGATCAAATAAATCTTGAAGATTTTTTCCATCTTGAGTATATTGAGCACGTGTTAAATGAGCATCGGTTTTACTTAATGAAAGAATTTTTTTTAAAGCTTCTTCAGGTAATTGTAACATAAATAAAGGTGTTCCATGAATATTTGGATCCATTAAACCATAATTATATGGATCAATACCTTAAAATATTTATATTATTTTAAAAAAAAAACAATAAGAAATAAAAAAAACAAACCAATTGGCATAAGATGCATTAAATTAATATAAGACATAAGTTGATTTTGTTCATCTTTAGATGATTTATCTAATACTGATTGATTTGAATTATTATCAATATCAATTTTCATATTTATACTGTTCTTTTTTATAAAATCATCTTTTATTGTTGTTGGTGTTGGTGGTGTTGATGTTGAAACATTTCCAATTTGTTTCGATAATATTAAGCGAATATTTTCAATATGTTTTGATGTAAATAAATGATCCTAGAATACAAAAAAAAAAAACGATCATAAATAAATAAATAAATTTGACATTGAAATAGAACTAACTCTTTGAGGATTTTGTAATGTATATTTGATTTGACATAATTTACATTGATCATTCGTTGATTGATATTCATCTGGAAGATCGGATTTAAAAAAATTTGGATTTTTCTTTTCTTTAGCACGGGCATTTTGAAACCAAACTTGTACAACACGTTTTTGTAATTGAATTTCTTTTCCTAATAATTCACATTCTGGCCTAAATAAAACAAAAACAATTAAAATCAAGGAAAAAAATATAAATAAAAAAATTATTTTTACATTGTTGGTGTTCGATATTCAAGAAAAATAGCTTTCATTAATTTAATTTGTAATGGTGTCATTTGTGTTCGAAATCTTCTTTGTCCATTTAATGAATTATTTGATGATTGTTGACAACTATTTGGTGATAAATTTCCATTGAATATATTTTTATCTTTAATTTTTAATTCATCAATTGATTGATTACTTGAATCATTCGATTCATTTAATAAATAATCATTCTCTTGTTTTCTTTCATGTAGATCATATTTTATTGATGATTTTGATAAATCAAGTGGAAGTTCATCATTTGAATTAAATACATTTGGAAATAAATCGTAATCAATTAATAATATATCATCTTTTTTTTTATATATATCCGAATGTTTTAATAATAAATGATTATCAAGTGTTGATTTTAATTTAAATGTTAATGAACAATGAAGACATTTTTTATTAATTATTATCTGATTATCATTTGAATTTGAATTTAAATTTAAATTTATATTTGAATCAATTTTAATATTTCCTTTTCTTTCACGAGCACGTGTATTTTGAAACCAAACTTGAACAACACGTTTTTTTAATTTAACTTCTTCAGATATATCTTCTAACATTTTTCTTGATGGATTTGATTCAATTGAATATTTTGACATTAAATAATCTTGTTGTTCAGGTAATATTGTTGTTCGATTTCGTTTTTGTGATGAACTTTTTTTATTTTCATCATTTGAATCATCACATAAATCTTCATCATCATCATCACCTTCACCATCTCCATCTCCATCTCCATCTCCTCCATCACCTTCTTCAATATCATTTGATGAATCAGATCCAAATGATGATATACTTTGACAACTTTTTTTATTTATTTCATTTGAATTATTTAAATCTAATCCAACAATTGGCTATAAAAAAAAACAAAACAAAAAATTATATTTAAAAAAAAAGAAGTTTATTCAAATAAAATTAATAACTTACAAAATTTTGATTATTTTGAAATAATTGTGATGAAAAAGCAGCCATAGCTGCTGCAGCAGCTGCTGCAGCTGCAGCTGGATGATAAGCAGCAAGTGGAAAAAGTGTTGCAGCATTAAGAAATGCTTGCATATGGAATGTTTGATGTTCATTAAATTGTTTCGTTGAATGAAAATATTTGTCACATTGTTCACAATAATTATCTTTTTTATTTGATGTAGTTGTACCAACATTTGATAATGGAAGACTATTTTTAATTAACATATCATATGATGATGAACGATTTAAACTAATTAATTCTTTTGTATTATTATCATCATTAAAATTCTTTTTTATTAAACATGGTGATGAACATTGTTTAGCATGTTTCATTAATTCAGCAAAACGTTGAAATAATTTATGACAATTTTTACATGAATAACCATCATCTTTATCTTTTGTCGTATATTGTATTTGTTGATTATTTTCATTAGGTGAATTATTTTCATAGGATTTTCTTGCTTTTTGTCTTGCATTTTGAAACCAAACAACGATAACACGACTATTTAATTTTAATTTATCTGATAAAATTTCTAAATCATCATCTTTTGGATATGGATTTCCTTCAAATGCATCTTGAAGTAGACGAAGTTGTTCATCACTAAAACGTGTTCTATTAGCACGTCGTGATGCTGATGATGATGATGATTGTTTTTGAAATAACTGTTGTTGTTGCTGTTGTTGTTGTTGTGATTGTTGTTGGTTATTATTATTATTATTATTATTTGATAATTTATTAAAATCATAAAATTCTTCATCTGAAAGAAGAATATCTTGTTCATCATTTGATGTTAAATCATTATCGGAATAATCTGAATCATTGTCATTTTTTTTAATAATAAGACCAGTTTTTTGATATTCATCTAGATCAATTTGATTTGATTGTAATGGTGGATTGGAAAAATTATATGGTGAATCTTTATTTTTTTGTCGTTCTTTAAATAATGTATTACGAAACCAATGTTTAATTACTTTAGTTGTTAATTGACTTTTTTCTGACATTAATTTTATTTGTTCATCACTTGGACTATTATTTATATTAAAATATGAACGTAAAATTTTTAATTGTTCGTCACTAATACGTGTTCTTTGACGTTTATTATGTGCTATATCATATGAAGAATTATTTATTGTTGAACTATGTGGATAAATAAAACAAGATGATGAAAGATTATTTTCATTTGAAATAATATTTGAATTTGAATTTGAACGAGATTTTTTTATTTGATTTAAATCATTTAATGATGATGATTGTCTTTTTAATTTATTCGATGATGATGATGATATTGTTGAAGATGATGATGATGAATGAAGTTTTTCTAAAAGAAATATCCAATGTTGTATAGCACGTGATGATAATACTATTGAATGTATATCTTCATAATGAACTTTTAATCTTGATAAACTTGAAAATTTTTTTAAACATAAATCACATATAATTTCATTTGAATATTTTGAATTTGAATTTGAATTTAAACTGGATGTTGAATTTGAATTTGAATTTGTGTTTGATATATTTTCTAAATAATGTAAAGCAATATCTTCACCAATTGATATTAATCTTTCACGTGTTTTTGATAAAAAATTCATTTGATTTCCAATTGATGATGATGATGGTGATGAACTATTTTTATTATCAAAATAACTTTCTTTTATTTCTTTACTTATTTCTTTATTTATTTCTTTTGTTTCTTTAATTGATGATGATGATGATAAATCAAAAGAATTTTTATCATTTAAATTAATTGAATGAATTTCACGAAAATGTTTTTCAAGATTTGTTAATGAATTAAAATATTGATTACATCCTTTTTTCCAACATAATAAACCAACGGATTTTGTTTCTTCATCAATATGACCTAAATTAGAAAAAAAGAATTTTTATAGTCTTTAGATTTTTCTTTTTGCTTTCAAGAAAAAATTTACTTTCATCTTGAAAATGATTTAATAAATGATAAAAATCTTTAAATGTTTTATTATGACAAGAATGACAACGATATTCATCACAAGAATTTGTTTCTGCCATTGATGAAAATCCTTAAAATAATAACATTTTTTTTTTCTTTTTACACAACAAAACAAAAAAAAACAACAAATTTATTTTTGTTTACAAAATAAAAGAAAAAAAAAATTCATAAAAAAAGAAAGAAGTATCTATTTAAATAGTTGATTCTCTCTCGAACAAGAAAAACGAAAAAAAGAGGGCGCTTTTCAATTCTAATCAACTCTGATTATCAAACCAGTTTTTTTTAATGTTATTATGTAAAAAAAAAAAAAAAAAGAAGGAAAAAAAGTAAATGATTGAAAAAAAAAGCAAAGTGTAATTTTGATGTTTAGAACAAAACGGAAAGAGAGAGAAGAAGGGAAACAAGTCAATAAGTTTGTCTAATGAAGGCGAATGAATGTGGTTGCTTTCATCGTCGTCTTTTTCTCTCGTTTTTTTTTTCTTTTCATTCATTAAGAAAGAGAACGCAAAGGGGGTAATCTCGGGTATTTTGCGTTGTCTGTGAGGCCACCACCATCACCACTTCGAACAGAATAAAATGTTGATGACATCGAACCCTCATCGACGACGACAACGACAACGACAACGACGACCAATAACATATAAATGAAATTAGTAATTGTTCGCTCACTTCGTTTCTTTTTTTTTTTTTTCTTTTTTCATTCTTCATCTGTTGGTTCACCATTGGATAGAGATCATCAACCTAATTTATTTTCTCCTCCTCATCTCCTTCTAGGCTGACCTCTCTTTTCTTTTCTTCTTTTTTTCTTTTCTTTTCTCTTCTATACAATTCTATCGTTAATTAAAGGTAGACATTACAAACTATCAAACCTTTACAACACTTTTTTATATTCAAATCAACCAAAATTTTATTTTATACCTGAATCTCCAATTAATGATAAACATCGATTCAAAGCATCTCGACTACAATTATGAATTGAACATAAATGTTCTTTCAATGATTCCTTTAAAAAGAAAAAGAAAAAGAAAGAGTATTGGATTTAAAAGAATAATTCAAATGGAATACCATTCTATTGAAATTAGATTGAGGACAAAGTGGACATGAATATGTTTCAATAGATGAAGATTCGCTTGCCATTTTTACTTCTAAAATAGAAATATTTTCATTAAACGCATCAGTCTAACTAAAGCAATCAATGAATAATAAATATATATATATATATATATGTGTGTGTGTTCTATCTTTTGCGTTGCACCCAACATGTATATTAACTAACTAACGATCGAGCCATCTAAAGAGAGAGAGAGAGGGAGAGAGAGTCGACTGGTAACAAGTCAGTTCTATGATACTAAGAGAAAAAAAAACGAGAGAAAAAGAGAAGAAAAGATGCAATGTCTTGGAATCTCGTTTGGATAGAGGAAAAGGAGACCGTTGATTGCCAATTACCCATAATGAGCGGCAGCTCGACGACGATGACGACGAAGACGAAGACGAAGACGACGACGACGACGACGATTAGGCAGAATAGAGAGAAACGAGAGATTGTTACATAAATTATTTCTTCTCTGTTTCTCTTTTTCTCGACGGCTGTCGCCTCATTCCTAATGGATTTCGTTCTTCTTTTTCTTTCTTAACATATAAACTGGCATCGACACTCAATGCGAATATCGCTTTCGATCTGAAGCATAACCATCCGCTAATAAGCGACCTATAACGAGAGAATGTGTCTGTGCTTTGCGAATCAAGAAAAGAGAACGACTATTCACATCTTTCACATTCACCGATAGAAGACACAAATAGATGTAACAGATTTTTATATTAACGCGACCAAACACGATTAATGACAAGCAACAACTAAGACAAAGAAAATAAATCATAGATTTTTTTTCCTTTCTTTTCTTTTCTTTTTTTTTCTTTCTTTATCATTTAATTTTTGTTTTTTTTATTTAGTAAATTTATTTTCATTTAAAAAAATTAACTGATAAAAATTCATCTTTTTAAATAATTTAAAAAAGAAACCGATTTATTGATTTGTTGAAATTTTTATCAAACATAAATCGAGAGTATCAATTCTTTTTTAATTTTATTTTTCTTTTTTCTTAAACAATCGATCAAATTTATCTTTTAATAAAAGAAAAAAGCATAAATTCATTGTAATAAAAAAGAAAATCTAAAGAGTGACTATTCACCTCCGAATAAAATAATATGTTAAATACAATATAGATAAATGATTTAATTTTTATCATTGAATATGAAAACTAAAATTGTTCGAAATCTACTCGAACGTTCTTATTCATAAATAAGCAATATACTTAACTTATTTATTGTTTTTTTCTTTCGTATTCAATTAATAAATATTTCAAATATTACTCATATATGAAGAAAAAATATTTTCTTTTTATGATTTAAGAAAGATATTCTAATAAAAAAAAAGTGACGATCAATTTTTATAATCTATTTGTAATATAAAGTAAAGTGTGAAAAAGTTAAAAAATAAAAATGAAAATCAAACCTTGTGATTGAGATGTTTGATCAAATGAAGAATTGTCAGGAGAAGATATAAATGTTGATTGTTGTTGAATAGATGGTGAAGACAAATCTCGACAATTATTCATATGTTTATCTGATTGCATATGTATTGCTAAATTTCCTTTAGTTGTTGTTGAATAAAGACATAAATCACATCTATATGGTTTAAATCCACATGGATATTGTTCACCACGAGCAAGACGTGGATGAACACTATGTGATAAACAATATGAACAATTTGTTTCATTTTCATTTGAATTATTTAGATTTCCATCGGAATTTGTTACCATTTGATGTTTTTCTTTCATATGAATTTCCAATGTTTCTTGATATTTATAATGCCAATTACCTTTACAATAAATATTATTTTATAAAATAAAATAAAAAAAAAAAACACATAATTCTTACATTTCGGACATTTAAGTGTTTTAGAAGAATTTCTCGAGTGAACATGTGCCGAACGATTATCAGGCGACAAAGATTGTTCAGCTACAGCCATAAACTATAATCAATGTTTTATTAAAAATAAAGAGAAAAATTTTCTTTTTTTTTTTTTAAATAAAAAATTTACTTCATTTGGGGTGTTGTTCGTTGTTGTTGATGATGGTTCACTCATGACATCATCTAGAATACTTATTTAACAAACGGTCAGAGGTCGAACATTGTTTCGCTTTTCAAATTTTTTTTTTATCTTTTCAAATCAAATCAAATTAATCAAATCAATATAAAAAAGGAAAACATTTAAATAAATATAAAAAGGAAAGAAAAAAAAAATTGTTTTATTTTTTAAATGAAATATTTGAAAAAAAAAAGGTTCTTAATAGAGGTCATCGATGTCAAAAAACGAATGACTCGAGAAAAGAAGAGAAAAGTGTTATATCGTACAGTGATGGTTACAGTTCTGTTCTTCTTTTGCTTCCACTATTCTTACTCGAATCCAGAGCGAGCGAGCGAAAAGATAAAAAAAGGAACGAGTGGCACAACAAAAGAATGACGGCGCGTCGCGCACTTGCAAATCCAATAGCGGCTGCTCACGCAGCCGAGTGCGCTAACGAGCGAGAGACGACAGCAACAGCGAGAATGATTATTGCATTGAGCTCAGGCAGGCAACCATGCTGCTCAAATCAAATCACACAGCAGCAACACAGAACAGAGAGAGAGAGAGAGAGAGACAGAAAGACTTGTTGTTGTCTAATTGCTGGCTGCTGCTTTTACTACTGGCTTTTTCTCTGCCTTCTTCTTCTTCTCCTTCTTCTTCTTCTTCTTCTTCTTCTCCTTTTTCCTAGAAAGAACCGAGAGTGTAATTTAATGAATAAGGACGATGAATGTGATTAGAAAAAAGAGAGTTCCGTTTGTTGACGACTGCTTGCCCCTCGACACTGTTCGGTTCGGGACTAGAACAAGAATGATTAAAAACACAGTATACTCTCAACTCATTCGAATACTTCTTCATATGTACCTTTCGTTATTACAGTCGAACCACCTCATTCTCATTTGGATCGATGGTGTTGAGACACACACAGAAAAAAGAAAGAAAGGGAGAAAAAAACACAACATCGAGCTTTGTCTCTATCTATGATTACCTAATCAAGTGAATAGCGACGAGAGAGAAAGAACGCAAAAATTTCCTTGCTCTCTCTTCTCTGCCCGATAGTCATTATGACTCTGTGTGCTTGTTGCCGGTGAAGTACAGAAGATGGTGGAGCATAGAAGAGAAGGGAGAAAGAGAGATCATTGACAATTTATAATCGTCGGTCGTCTGTGTGTATGTGCATAGTCGTTCGTTTGACGAGTCTTACTTCGATTTTATTCAATCATGCCGCGTCGCTCCATTAAACTCAACTATTTTTCTTTCTCTCATATTCAGGGCGTGCTGGTCATTTCATTAAACCAAAACGATGGTTGAATAACGAACGGCACACCGACTGATTTAATCATGTAACACGAGACACTTAACAGAGAACTTTTTTTTTTTCGAATGATCCACATAACTCGGACGAGTTTTTTTTTCTTTTTTCATGGAAAATAGAAAGACATTGTCACAACGACGAGAAAAAAAAAGCCTATCTTATCTTCCATTGTCTAATTAGAAATCGATGGAAGCCGATTAAATTATTCGTCTTCTTCTCTTTTTTTCTCTTTGTTGACGATCGATGAGCGAATCGTGAAAGACAACGTTCTTGCGTCAAGAAAAAGAGAAACTTACTCTAATGGGTCAGTGACTAGTTGTGTTCTCTATGTGACAGAAAAAGAAATGGATGCATGGATAAAAAAGAAAAAGGCACGGGCACCACCTAATATAATTTGCAATACATTGATTACGATGACGACGATGACGAAGAGAACCGAGAAACGAGAGAAAAATTGTTTGTCAACACGGACAGCGGCATCGAGCGAGACACCAACTCATTTGCTCGATTGCACCATCGACAACATCACAGAACAACGAACGAGAGAAAACCTTCCTTATGACAAGTTGTGTTTTTTTTCTCTCTTTTTCTTTTAGTATAATCAATGAAAGAGACAGTTAATTGTTAATGTTAAAATAGTTATATAATAAGACAAGGATATAGATCAACGTTCGATATCTAACCATTGAGATAAATTATTTCAACGATTAACAAATTGTTTTTATTAACAATTCAACAATTTAATAAGATGTCGCTTTATTTCAATTCTTATTATCGATTAAAATTAAAAAACAAAACAAAATGACCATTTTTTATTCTCAGATAAAAATTCTTATTTAACCATAGAAATCAAATCTTTAGACAATTTTAATATAAATAAGAAAATAATAATTAATATTAACTTGTTTGATTAATTAAATATGTTCGAATTGTTTATTATTTATTATCTGTTGATAACAAAAAAAAAGCAAGAAAATATTTGTTGAATAATAATAAAATGTTAAATTGTATATAATGTATTCAAAAAAAAGTTCAATTCATTTGAAATAAATATCTTTTTTCAATAATTTATCTTTTCATCGATTCTAACAATTCGTTTGTTTAAAGAAGTTTTTCTTTTTTCATTTGGCTAAATAATCAATTGTTGTTATGATTATTTTCAAATATGTTCCATTAATAGAAGATTTTTTTTTGTTCTAAATCAAATTTTATTGAAATTAATTTCAAAGAAATTTAATCAAGAAAAGTCCACAAAAATTTATTTTTAAAATAATATCTGAATCGATTATTTTTTCATTATTAAATGTAACTAATAGCAATAAGAATTGTTATTTAGTAAATATATAAATATGTTTAAATTGGTAATAATTTATATTATTTTTAGTTTTTTCAAATTAAATCAATGAAAATAAAATTGATGAAAAAAATCTTTTTGTCATTTTCTTAAATTCCAAAATAATTCTGCTGATATATTTAATTAATAAATTCAATAATTTAATTTATTAAAATAAAAATAATATTTGAAAAAAATCTTCTCAAACAATAATTATATGGAAAATCTATTCGTTTAATAATTAACAAATCAAAATCGTATATTATAATATATATATATAATAACAAAAATCTAATTATTTTAAAAGACGAATCGATTTATATAAATAAATAAAATAAAAATCTCGTAATAGATATCATATATGTTTTATCGAAAGATAAAAATTCCTTCGATATATTATTTATTTATTTATTCGGAAGATTTTTTTTTTCTTTTCTATTTTAATAAAAAAAATAGTTAAGAATTGTCTTTGAGAAAAAAAGAAAAACGTTTTTATTGTATTTTAAAACGATTTAAATGTGAATAGAATGAAATATTTTCATGATTTTGTTTAATGCATAAGAGAGCAATAGGTTATTTTATGATTAAAAAGAAAAAGAGACGTAAAAGAATAAATATAGTCTTGTTTTGCATATATAAGTATGTACTTTTCATCAAGGATATTCATCAAACAAATATGTCCTTCATTACATTATTTTATCATTCAGATTTTTACACTTGTTAGATATTAACTAAATATTATTTTCATATTAAATCAAAAAGACAATATTCATATCTTGAAAACTTTAATCGATAAATCATCATTTATATATAAAACTATTTATTTTATTTTATTTTATTTAATAATACATGACTACTTATCGGCTTGCCATATTCAATAGATCTTTAATGATTCTATAGAGTTTTATTAAAGAGAGCACCTTCTCCGTTTTCTTGACTAAAAGTCAGCTTTAGTCAAATATATCGATATTGTGATTTCTACTTTGTTATATAGAATTATGTCTATACTCTAAAATCTCTTACAATTTATTGATCAGATTTAACTATATAAGAGAAGTTTTTTCTTAATCGTTCTATTGAATAAAATAAAGTTTTTAGAAAAAATTTTCATCAATAAAGTGTTTGAAGGTTGTCTGTTAAGTTAAGTCAGTGATCTATGTGGTTATGATGCATCACTAATCATGATAAATTAATTTAAGAGTCGAACATGATAAATAATATTATTGAATGAAGATTGTCAGCCACATCTACATTTCTATGTGCATTCATTTAATTCATTCTAATCGTTCATTCTATGACAAATTACGCGAAGATTTTTCTTTTAAATAAATTTATCAAGGAAAATTCTAAATATCGGAACAAATACCGACGCCTGAGAAAATTAACTAAAATAATGATTGGACATCGTCAAAAAGAATATTGAGACGAAGTATGTGAGGATATAGAAAAATCTATCAAGAACAACGATCCTACAATGGCGTTTTCCATTATAAAACGTCTCAGAAGAGAAAATAAAAGAGTGGAAAATATACCAATACAAGATAAATCTGATAAGCTACTTGTAAACTCACGAGACATATTGAAATCCTGGCGTGAGTTCTTTTGTGAATCTCTCAATGTACACTCAGTGGTTGACCAAAATTTAATTGAGCAAATTCAAATACGAACTCTTTCAACAACTGAAGAGCATAGACAGAATGCTCAACTTTCTATTGAAAAGGTAAGAAGAGCGGTAAACCAAATCAAATCAAGAAAAGCTCCAGACAGTGACGAAGTCACAGTTGATATTCTGAAAGCTGGTGGTGAGTCAGTGATAAAATGCTTAGTTGAATTCTTTACTGACGTATGGGAGAGTGAACAATCGGTGAAGGAATGAAGCGTGGTAATTCTAATTAGAGTATACAAAGATAAAGGTGACAAAAAATTGTGTGATAATTATAGAGGCATCGGCTTATTGAATGCGACTATATAGTAAAGTATTTTCACGTATAATATTTAACCGTATTCAAAATTTGATTAATGGTCAGCTACTAGAAATACAATCTAGCTTTCGGTCAAATAGATCAACTATCGACCAAATATTTACACTGAAAATGACCATGGAAAGAAGGAAAGAGTTTAATAAACCTTTGTTCATATCTTTCATTGATATTGCAAAGGCTTATGACCTGATCAATCCCGAGCTCTTATGGAAAATATGTCTTAGTTATGCCATCTCTGAAAAATTGGTTAATCTTTTGAAGATGCTTTACAAAAAATCGAGAACGAAAGTGAAAATAAATGGAGAATTATTGCCAGACAGCTTTGGGATAAAATCAGGTGTGATACAAGGAAGCATTCCTTCTCCAATTTTATTTAATATTCTGTTCGTCT